TTGTTGATAATCTGGAGTTGCCTAGATTGCTGTCGTGCGAAAAGTGTGCCTTTAATTATGTCAGTGTTAATTTCTTTCCATAAACAAACTGAAGGATGGTTCTGAATTCCAATTCTCAGCCCTTTCTCCTTCTAAGTTCCAATTATGTAGTGTGTAAAGCATAGGCATAATATGGTGGAGGATTTATTTGTTATCGGTATTTCAAATATAAAAGGAAATGTCACTCAGGCAAAGCAAGGACCCAGTTGGGCAAAGAGTTATGACCACACGCAAAGCTACTTTGGTTCAAAATCTCCTGGAACTCCGCAAGCAGACTGCTCCACCAAAACCTTGTTTTGGGGTAGGGAAGGGGTGATCTGGAAAATATGGAGTTTGACTGAATGAAAATTTGCAGAGAAAGTATCTTTTTTTCCCAAAAAAGTATTGCCATTGAAATACACCAAACCTGATTTTTTTTTCTGTTGGCTTTTGTGGCAGAAAACTTTCCGATTGTTTTGTCTACAAAATGTCAACATTTTCCATTAAACAAACCCCACCCATTTTTCTACTAACTGTAGTGAGTCAGACTCAATACTGGGTGCTTATCCGTACTTTGAAGCCCGGGGCTATATCACAATGCTTTTGTTTTCTTGCTGGAATTACTCATTCGGCTCCCAGCTTTAACGTGAAAAATCTTTCCTGCCGTGTCTGGCAATGTGCATGATGCTGTACAAAGATATAGTCAGAGGCATGATGCTCTAAAAAAGCTTACCGTAAGGATCACGGGCAAAGGCAGGCAGGACTAGCGGCAATAGCTTGGGATGCAGGAATGGATGCCAGGGATCAAAGCGGGTGTCGGAGTCACGTTGAGAGCCCAAGTGAGGAATTGGGCCGGGGGTCAACACTCTGCATCAGTCTCGGTGTTAGAGTGGAAGGGGGTCGACCAAGAATCAGGCCCACGTCAGAGCTAAGGTCAGTACGGGGCGTTCACAGGCAGGGTTGTCATGGCAACGAGCTAGGGCTCCATCTTGTGGCTGGGCCGCATCCTGGGGTTATGTAGGTCCAGGAGCCAATCAGGAGTCACAAAGACACCGGTCGGTCAGGTCACTAGAGGCGGAACTTCCTGTGGCGCACAGCCTCTGTGGCGTGGGCCTGCCAGGTGGCAGCGGCTGCCCGGTGGCAGGGCGGGGACGTTGGTGGCGGGTCAGGTCTCCAGACTTGCGTCCGAGTCCTGCTGGGCCGCATCCTGGGGTTATGTAGGTCCAGGAGCCAATCAGGAGTCACAAAGACACCGGTCGGTCAGGTCACTAGAGGCGGAACTTCCTGTGGCGCACAGCCTCTGTGGCGTGGGCCTGCCAGGTGGCAGCGGCTGCCCGGTGGCAGGGCGGGGACGTTGGTGGCGGGTCAGGTCTCCAGACTTGCGTCCGAGTCCTGCCCCCCTTTCCACTTGCAGACACGAGCACACAGATATCGTGCCCTGTGGTTGCACGTCTCTCCTGTTTACCCTCTTTCTGCTTCCTCGTCGCAGGCTCTCTGTGGTGTATATACAGCCCCTCTCGCCACAGGACCTGCGCGCCTCCCGCCACCTCTGTGAGACAGACCTCTAGGGCTCTGCTGTTGTCTCCACTGGGATGCCTACAGAGACTATATGGTCAGCCCCAGACCATATAGGAATTGTAGGGTGCAACAGGGGGCTCAAAACATGTCCTAGGCTAGTGCCCTACCAGTGGCTGATTCTTCCTCTCTCTCTTCGCATGTACTGAGTAACCTGGACAACCAAAGTTCAGAAATGGAAACCAAGGTGCTGAGGGTGGTTAAGAACAGCCAGACTGGGTCAGGCCAAAGGTCCATCTCTCCCAGTGTCCTGTCTTCCAACAGCGGCCAGTGCCCCAGAGGTAGTCAAGTGTTCCCTCCCCTGTCACCCATTCCCAGCTTCTGACAGAGGCTACGAACACCATTTCTACCTAACCCGGCTAATAGCCATTGCTAGACCTGTCGTCCGTGAGTGTATTTAGGTCTTTTTTGAACCCTGCTATAGTCCTGGCCTTCACAACATCCTGTGGCAAGGAGTTCCACAGGTTGACAATGCGTTGAGCTTTTTCCAAGTTGCCTAAGGGAGTTAGCCCCTCAGCTCTCATCGTCTCTCTGTCCCTGTAATTAACCCAAGGAAACCTTGCTTAGCTGCCTAGCAATCTGAGTCCAGATACTTCCCGTAATGGGGTGAGTCATGTCCACGCTCCATGCCAACTGATGGCAGAGGTGACCTGGCCAGGGGTGACCTTCACATGAGTCACTGGAATGCAGCGTTTGCTCATAATTTTCCGTTCGGTGCCTGGGGTGAGGCCTCTTTGCTTGACCTTTTGTTTTTTGGATGCTGTGTGTGTGAGTGAGCTGTGACTCACTGCTATGTCCCTTTGCTCCAGGAAGAACCAAGCAAATCGCAAGGATGCTTTCAAGGCTGTTTCCAGGATGCACACTTATTCTCTGGCCTTTTTCAGGCCTTCTCCTTTGCCCCCTCCCCGCCACTCCCCATAGCATCAAACCTGTGCCTCTCACACAGGAATGTAGCCATGGTCTACCTACTCCAACATCCTGTTTCCGACCGTGGCCAGTACCAGATGTTTCAGATGAAACCCCAAGAGAGCCCCGAGGAGCTGGCTACGTTCTGAGGAATGTTTGGGCAATGAGAGAGCCATGATTCAATGGTCCACTCCTGCCTAGGGATTTCAAGTGAAAACAGAATGTTTAGCATCTTAGGGTGGGTCTCTATGCAGTTAGGGCTCTGATTGGTGAGCCCTTAATATGGATCCTCTTGAATCGGATCACAAGAGGCGGCGTGGTGTGGTGGACAGAGTCCTGGAGTGTCATGCAGGAGTCCACGCGCCGTCCTGTGGCCCTATAGAGCCTCACCAAAATATTTACAATCGTGAGCTTTCGTGGGTAAAACCCACTTCCTCAGATGGGTTGGAGTGGAAATAACAGAATCCAAGAGCTATATAAACAGCTTCTCATTGGAGACCTTCACTACTGGGCACCTGTAAACGTCACCAGTGACGTCTGCATTCCCTCCAGCTCTTCTTTAAGGGCTGTGCTGCCTCGTGGTCTCCGATTCTAGCAAAACAAAAGGCTCCCGGTTCAAATGACAGGTGAGGAAGGGCAGACATCTCGTGTAAACCGAAGGGCCGATAGTCAAGCCGTCTCTTCTGCTCCAGGGAAGTCTGTCTGTTCTTAGCGCCCACCGGGCAAGATGCTGGGCAGAGCAGACTTTGGTTTTTATGTGCCTAGCTCTTCTCATGTTGGACCTGTTAAGGGGTGGGGATTTTGCTCAGCTGTTTATGTGGAAGATCCAGTCTGTTAGCAGAGAAATTGAGTGAGGTGCTGCTTGTTCTGACGGATGGCTCCTAGGTACTTTTCTATTTCATCCCCTGTGCTGTGTTTCCTGCGTTATCTTTTCCAGGGAATCGGAGGGCTGAAGGAATACACGTTGCCAATATAATCCTGTTCTAAAACAACAGCAAAGGCTGTGCAGGGATTATGATGGGGGGAAAAAATCGAATTTGTTCTCTGTTCGCTGGAGCTGAGCCAGCAGTGCCTAACCGTTTAGTCTATGGATAAAACCGCTGTTCATGGGCAACTTATTAACCCATCACAATTTTCCTACCTTTGTTTACCATTGCATCTTGCATCACGCAGCCCAAGACTCCCTGGTCCCGGAGCACGGGTGGAGGGGAGAGGCAGCATGTGGCCCCAGTCTCCCCGGCCCTGGAGCATTCTGGGGGCGGAGTATGGGTGGGGCCAGGCTGGCACTTCCCCTGCCTAGCATACCTGCCACCCATGGTCCCAGGTTCAGAGCCCCTGTTGGTGTTATGCTTGCTTGCATCAGATTTGTGAACTAGCGTGTGCAGTGTTATAAGGAACGGGGATATGCACCGTGAATCTTTTCCCCCCACACAAAGGCAATGAAATCGCCCAGACAAGGATTATTTTCTGTAACGTTTGCAGCTAGGACTATACAAATATATGTACATGCCATTGCTTTGTCTTGACTGTAGCAGGAGAACTGAATACTGGGCCTGTTAGCCAGCAAATAAATCGGGCTTCTCTGTCAATCTAGCTGTTAAAAACTCCAGGCTCATGCACACAGCCAAATGCGAGAGAGAGTTTTCCTTGTGCAGAAGGGGAGAGAAAAAGATTGAGAAACTCCCCAACCTTGTAGAGCTCCTACCAGCGCTCTTCTCTCCTTCTTTCTCCACAGACACTCTTCCATTGCTTACCTGATAGGTGCAAACCCCTCAATGCATGCGTGGCCAACCCACTGTGGGCAAAGAGCCAAAATATCAGTGGATCCAGCGCGAAGAGCCGGGGCAAAGTTGTCGAGCAAAAAAAAGGAGTCCCCGTTTGGTCAAGCAAAAAAAAAAAAAAAAGCTCTGCCCTTTTAAGAAAACACGTTTAGAGGCTTTTTGGCCACATCAGGCTCCCGCTGGCTGCGGGGGGAAGAGGTTGACACGTAGGCTTCTTGTTATAAAGTGCAGATCTTCCAACCTGGGGGAATGGAAACCAAACCATGTGAGTTAGGGGACTAATCATGCAGGCCAACTAGTGGTTCCGGACAGTGGTCCCTCTCGTTTTTTCCCTTCATGGGCAGAATAAATTTTGTGACGTGCACCAAGGCATGTGCAGATGTGCACCACCAGTAGAAATACATGCTGCCGGCTGTGGGGGCTTGAGAGCTCTTCTAACCGGCTGGGTGGCACCAGCAGGATCGACAGCCCCGCAGCTCTTTAATGAGCCCCGCCCAGCCCAAAGCTCCATGCTCTGTGCTGGGAGAGGGGCGCTTCTCCCCTAGCGACAGCGGCAGGTCCTTGCTGAGGACATGTGACTGGGCTCTTGGTTTCTCTCTCTCCCCCAAAAGATGCCGAGATCTAGACTTGCTGTGTGAAAAAAACAGTAAATGCCGATGCTTCAGAAACACGAATAGTCTAGGTCCTGAGCTTCACCCGTCCCATTTTCTCCCCTTCTAGATGATCAGCTGAACTCAGAGGAGAAGAAGAAGAGAAAGCAGAGGAGAAACAGGACCACCTTCAACAGCAGCCAGCTCCAGGCTCTGGAAAGAGTCTTTGAGAGGACACATTACCCCGACGCCTTCGTACGAGAAGACCTCGCCCGCAGAGTCAACCTCACTGAAGCCAGAGTGCAGGTAAGCAGGGACAAAAGACAGGAGTCCTCCTGTCTCGTCCAGGTACTGCAAGCAAGCCATGGCTGTAGTCGTCATCCGGCTGGCTGTAGAGATCCAGAACTGGCCTCAAAATCATAACAAGGGTAGAGGTCTCCTGGCCTCTCAAACATATACATGCCAGATGGATCCTTCGTAAAAGCTCAATCGTCTTTAATCGGGTGGAACATTAGGGTTTTATAGAAATCAAATGGGGTGAGGCCAGGGACCCGGACTGAAATCACAGCCCCATTGCTTTAGGTGTTGTACAAATCCATATGAAAACAAGGGCCAGAATTTTCAGACGTAACTTAGAAGCCTGTTTTCCTAAAGCCTCGCTGAAAATCTTAGGCGCTTGGGTGCCCGTTACTTTTGAAAACGGGAGCTCCTCTGTCTCGGAGGCGCTCTTGAAAAATTCATCCACCACCCCACGTCCACGTCCACGTGACAAATCCAAAGAATCGACTAGCGAATAGGATCCTGGCTGTAGAACTTCCCAGCCAACTTGGGATTCTGCCGCAGGGAGCGAATTCGCTGTTAAGGTCTGTGGAAGCAACACAGCTGCCGACCTTATCGGGTTTGGCCATCAGAGACAACCCAGCAGCAGCTGGGAAGGGGAGTCTATTTTTGTAATCAGATTGGCAGCACAGGCAAAAAGGCCAAGTCGCACACCCTTCTCCAAAGTGAGTGGCGTAGGGTTATTCGCTGGGGAAGACAGAGATTCCTACGGAGGCATTACACCCAATATTGAATCATGGTGGCAACCGTACGCTACTTTTGGGGGTAGAGAAGAAGGTTCTGGAGTCATGAGGGAAACCTCAGAAGGTCGAGATGTTTGGCTCCGACTCCAAAGCTGGGTTGTGCATCTTGGCTTTAGCCTTCTTGCCTGAGCCCAGAAACACAGAGCTGTCCGAAACTGAGGGAAAGTGAAACCCGTTGCTCCCAGCCTTATCCACGGGGCAGACACTTGGGTTCCCCCAGAGGTTCTGAAGAAGGCATGGGTTAGCTCTGATTTAACCAGGACAGATCCACCCACTGCGCAGTGAAGAGCCGCACCTAGACTGGCATCGCAGGGCGCAGTCCCATTCCAGAGCTCTGTACGTCTCGGTCATCACCAGAGTCAGGCTCTCGCTTGTTCTTACACGTGAGAGTTTCACCGAGCAGGGTTTCCCCAAGACACGTGGCTGATGAAGGTGTGAGCAGCTTGAGTTTGAGAGCACAAGGGTAGGACGGGCGGGGCCCATCATCAGGATCCAATGAATGAAATTGGCCTTTTGGATCCTGGGATGGGGGGATTTGTGTGTGTGAGAACACACCTGTGTGTGTGTGTGTGTCTACATTTGTTCATCAATAGATTCAGAGAGTTGAAAGCCAGATGAGACTAGGGATGTTAAATATCGGTTAATTGAATAGTCGATTAATGTCATGAATTCTTACCGGTTTCTCGACTATTCTATAGCCCCTGGGGGTGGGGCCAGCAGCCAATGAGCTCCGACCCCACTCCCAAGGCGCCCCCTGTTACTCCACACTGTATCAGAGGCAGCAGCGTGAGGTGCCAGGCAGGAGCTGGTCCACAAGAGGAGCCAGTTTAAAAACTAGCTCCCCTCACAGATCAATTGCCCGTTGCCCTGTGCTGCTGCTTCTGATACCGAGGCAGCAGTACAGGGTGGCAGCAGCCCCTGTCGGGGGGAAGGGGCTGAGTGCCCAAACACAGCAAGCCGGAACCGAGTCGAGCTAGCTGCCCGACCGGCTCCTAATACACTTTAAATACAGAGCCACAGCGGGGATAGGTCCTGGACCTGGCGCAAGCCAGAACTGAGCCAAGCTGCTGGCCAGCCTGCTAAAAAATGTACTGGTGGGAAATGCGTGTTGTCTATAGCAGTAACCGATACGGTTCGGTTATCGGTTAATTGGTTAATCGACTAGACTGTTACACCCCTCCAAGAGTCTGTGAGATCCTCCAGTCTAGTTGGGATAGCGGGCGTGGGGAAGGGGAGCAGCCGTTGCCTCCACTCAGGGCCGGGTTCTGATTTCTGGCCTGTCTGTGCCCTTCCCCCCCCCCAGGTCTGGTTTCAGAACCGAAGAGCGAAGTTCCGCAGGAACGAGAGAGCCATGCTGGCCAACAAGAACGCCTCCCTTCTCAAGTCCTACTCCGGCGACGTGACTGCGGTGGAGCAGCCCATCGTCCCGCGCCCCGCTCCGAGACCCACCGACTATCTCTCCTGGGGGACGGCCTCGCCTTACAGGTGAATGCAGAGCCCATCGCTAGGTAACGCCCCTCCTCCGCCCTCCACGCTCCTTCCTCCTCTGACAGCGACGCTCACTGGGCGCATCCCACAGCTCGGGCCAGGCGTCACGCCGTGTGGGCGCCTCCCTCCTCCTCGCCTGGGAGGCTGGCACCAGTTAGAGCAGCCGCGGCTCGGCTCTAAATCGCATTGGCCTGTAACAGAGGCCTGTCGGTTGCACAGCTGGAGTGCACAGCACTGTGGCTGTACCAGCCTGCCCCTGGT